CCCAGACACCCAGACACCCAGACACGTAGACACGCAGACACGCAGACACGCAGACACGCAGACACGCAGACACGCAGACACAGACACACACACACACACAGACACACACACACACACACAGAGACACGCACACGCAGACACGCACACAGACACACACACACAGACACACACACACACAGACACACAGACACACAGACACACACACACACACAGACACACACACACACACAGAGACACACAACACACTCACAGACACACAGCACGCACACAGACACACAACACGCACACACACAACACACACACACACAGCTCACACACACACACACAACACAACACACACACACAACACACACACACAAGACACACACACAACCAACACACACACACACAACCAACACACACACAACCAACACACACACACACAACCAACACACACACACACAACACAGACACACACACACACACACAACCACAGACACACACACACACAACCACAGACACTCACACGCACACAACCACAGTCGCAAGGACTGCCCCTTTGCTCACATCTTCTGGCGGTGCAGGGGCCCCTTTGCTCACATCTGCTCGCGGTGCGGTGGCCAGCACCCCTATCACAAGTGCTCTGAAGTGAAGCGCCTCCAGGCAACACTGGGAATGATGAGTGACTAGCTGCTGAGACTGGCCGCAGAGATGCCCGCATATCGCTTTCAGTGGGGGAGATGGTTTCGCATCTGGGTGTTTCGGGCCTTTTGGCCCGCGCGCGGCTACGGGCTGTTCCATGGACGCTGGCAACGAGGATTGGCAGTGGGAGCAGACACGGGAAGCTGCGTGGGAAAAGTTGCATACGTCATCAGGCCGCAGGTCCAGAAGATCCATAGCTCAGATGAAGACGATTACGGTGTGAGGAAGGCGAAGCTGGGGTCTGGTCATTGGGGCCATGGCCCTCCACGTTCTTCTTGCATGTTTGGCAAGCAGAAAGACTTCACAGATGGTTTCGGGCTGTGCTCACCGGGTCGGTGGGCGCACCATGGCAGCGTGGATGTGCAGCTGACACACTGTCGCTGGCTTTCTCCGAGGAGCTGGACAAAACCTTGTACATGTTGCTCAAATACAGAGTGGATCTGGACAATCTGGCCAAAGAGTTCGCTGCGGGTACAATGATGCAGTGCCCATTCAGCCAGGGGTTGATCGCGGAGGGCCGCGAGCTTCTTTTCTGCACGCTTGAGGCCAGGCAGTGCAAGCTTCCTGTGCGTGAACAGACTGCCGGACAGCCTTTCTTTCTTGCAGCGATCGCGGAACTGTTGCGAGTGGCTGGCGATCCTGACTTTAGAGCTTTCTTGTCTTCCAAGTTCTCTTGTGCTAAGGGTGTGTGTCTTGGTGTCGGCCTTAAGACACCTCGACGAGTGCCCGCAGTCTTTGAGAAGAAGACAAAGTGGCGGTCATATTCGGAGGAGGATTGTCTGGAGACCAGCCGAGACGTTGATCGGGAGAATTACCTCTCGGCCAAAGACCATGCAACAGTTGTGCAAACAGCACTTTGAAGCTGAGGCCAAGCTGGGTGCAATACTGGAGTTGTCTGTAGAGGAAGCCCAGGCTAGATACGGCAAGAATCTTGCCGTTGCATCCCTCGGTGCCTTTGAGAACAAGGACGGTTTCCACCGGGTGGTGCATGACGGGACGCACGGCTTTGCAGTGAATACCAGCATCAAGATGAGAGATGAGCTGCGTTCTCCAACAGCAGGTGTTCTCAAGACGTCCATGAGAACTTTGCAGCGCGCGATCTTCGGGCTTTTTGGTGATGTGAAAAGGGCGCATCAAGATTTCCCAGGAGGACTGGGGCTTGCTCGCGTGCCGGACAGGTGCACGTGGGCGTAAGTACGTGTGGCTGAACTGTGTGTCTCGAGCACAGCATACCATTGGTCGCGTCTCATGGCCGGTCTTGGGCGTTCTGCCTACTACCTTATCAGAAGGCTTGCGATGGACCAAGTGTTGCTGCGGGAATTCCTTTGATTGCGGTCATCAAATTCTACTGTGTCTTACTGGGTCTGCCATTTGCATGGAAAAAGTTCAGAGGTGGAGCCAAGTTTGGATGGGTAGGTTTTGAACTCATTCTGAAGGAAGGCGCCTTGGGTCTATCTGCAGCACGAGCGCAGTGGATGGTCAAGTGTAGTGCGAGGTCGATGACATGCGTGCAGTGCTTGGTCGGTTGTGCTTTGGGTTCACTGCGTTGAATCCGTGGGCCTGTGTCATCGACAGCAGAAACTGCCGAAAGCATTGGCGCTCATCTTCAGATTCCTAGTGTGTGCCTTGGAAGGCGATGGACGGACGGCGCCTGTGGGTCATCATGGCGCACGAGAAGTCGAAGTGTTCCGTACGGATGCCAGAGCCGAAGGCGATGAGGTCTGGATAGGAGGCTGGGCGATCTATGACCCAGATCCTAGGAATTGCAGGTGGTTCTCCGAGCGTCGGGATCACATCGCTGCGCCGTGGCTCTACGTTGCTGGCGAGTTGTACAGAAAGATTGCGTCATTTGAGCTGATGGCCACATTGACAACAGTGTAATTCTTTTCGGAGTACCTCCAACGGCAGCATTGTGCCTTTGGCTGCTCGACCGGGACAGATAACCGGGGCAACACTTATGTAGTGTCGCGGCTGCTAACCACAAAGTTTCGTCGTGTGCTTTCCTAATGGAGCTTGCGATAAGACGATCTGCACCTTTACTGGTTGCCCCGGCTGCAGAACCAGGAAGCAGATCAGCTCACGAACTGCGACTACACCAAGTTTGACCCGGCCAAGAGATTGCGGCTGGATTGGGCGCAGTACAAGGGCATCGTGCTTCGGGACATGCTGCATCACGGCATGGAACTGTACGAAGAAATTCGGGAAGCCAGAGCCATGAAGAAGGCACGTTTGGAAGCGAAGGTTGTTGTCGGTGAGCCGCTCCGGATCAGAGACCCCTGGCAGTGAAGTGCACAGGTTCGGATGTCTTGTTGGGCTGCCTTTTTTTCCGCGTTTGCTTCTTTGGAGTGGGGTTGGGTTTGGGTCGACTCGATAACCGGCGGCAATATCCCCAGGTGCTTGGAGACCCAAGAGCGCTGCCACCACATCTCAAAATGAAGGAGACCGCAGGGGAAGGTTCGTTATTGCTGAATTCTCTGACTTGGTAAAGGGTTGGAGGGTTGGGGTTTCTTGTGGTACGTTTTGATCCCGCGAGATGCACGCGTGCGTGCAGTAAAGCCGGATCTGTAGCACCATGACACGTGTGTGAACGATTGCGAGTGTTTGCATGGCCTTGATTGCGCGATGGGGTTTCTTGTGTTGCGTTTTGATCCCGGCATGCACGCAGGCACACCCACACCCACCCACCCACCCACACCCACCCACCCCACCCACCCACACCCACCCACCCACACCCACCCACCCACCCACAC